ATCTAGTTGAGAATCTGTGACAAGACTTATACATTCATAGATGGTCTCAATCCAATCCAAGCCTGAGTTATTTAATTTTTTATCTTCACAAACTGTTGACTCCAGTCATTTGCTAGCTTTATGCTGCACTGGTGAATCGGTTCGTACGGGTCATAAAGCCAACAGGTTTTACCTGCACTCCATGCGTCCAGCCGCCACAGTTTTAGCTCTAATGTTCCCCAACAACCATCGCCTTTAATTGCAATCCATTTCACCTCTGAGAAGATGGGTCGTTGCACAGCTTTACATCATTAAATCCTCCATTTGCTGCTGGAGAAGAGCACTGAATAAAGATGGAGCACATGGTAAGATCATGACAGGTTTAGCCTCCAGTGGTTCAGCCTCTTGAGCAATTTCCAGCATCTCTGCTTGAGGATTGATTTCTCCTGTTTTTGTTTCTTCTGAATGCACTAAAGATTAGCTGTGACCCAGCTACCTACCAGAGGAGTTATAATAGCAGCTATCCATTTCCACACAGATTTTTTTCTCCGACATTAAGTCAGATTTAGGTGGTAAAGTGCTTTGAGCTGTTTTAAAGGAATAGTTCGTCTTCGACTGGCGGCCATTAGCTGTAGAGCAGGTTACAGATTAGCAGACTTGAGTAAACTGATCAAATCTGTTGATTTTTTTTCTTGAAGAGTGGAAGCAAACACATTAAAGAACAAGTGGGAGGGTTATTACTCTAAGAAAATCATATCGTCGGGAAATTTATTTGAAAGACTACAGATTGATAATTCGGAAAATGTACTGTTTTCTGTACCGGTTAATTTAAATGTTGCATGTTTAGTTTATAGTCTACCAGGTAAAAAAAAAAAAGTAGTACTTTTTAGACTCAAGTAAACTCAAGTAGTTTTGACTCGGCAATTTTGGCTCGTATGACAAAAAGGTTAGATCACCAGTGGTCCCCGCTGGAAGTTGATTTGGTTTCATTCATGTTTTGCTTTTGAGTTTAAGGCGCTGTGCTTACAACATCTTTGTGTGTTTGGAATCAGACGTATTGACAAAACCTTTGGACACAACTGTAAAACATCCTGCTTTTTGTTGGACAAAAAAGGCAGCCATGATGAGTTCAATGATTGGGTAGCATCTCAGTATGAAGCAACCAATCAATGGCCGTCAACAATGTGGTGTGGAGGTCAGAGTGCATCTTTGTCAGTTAACTTGCTGTCTGTTATCAGGCTCTCCCAGCGCCAGCTAGAGAAACTGAGCACTTTCTCCCAGTTTTAAAGCTGCTAATGCTGGTTAATCACTCCACCATTCATCACAGTACGTCCTAAATTACCATCGGCTTCATTTGCTGTTGCATCGCCCCAGCCAGCGCCCATTACCACCGCACCAAATGAAGAAAGATAATGTGTTTTGCACAATGGTAGATGAGAAGCTTCCTGGAGTTTTGTTGTTTGCGGAGCTGTGTCATTGTATTTCCTGAGAGTGTGTGCGAGTGCATGTATCAATATGGATCATGAATCTAATACACCCTTGGGGAACTGACCTGGTTTTTCATGTGGAACTCTCATACGGGCCCGAGGAGCGAGTGAACATGTAAAACAGAGATCTCGCTACTCTTGATGCATCGGACTCGGAGCGCGGCGGAGTGCAAATGTTGAGCTTCAGAAAGCAAAGAGGGAAACCAGGCCAATCCAGTCAGAGGATACTTGTTGTTCTCGCTCTCGCTGAAATATCTCCCAAACAAAACTGATGCAGAGAAAACTGGAAAAGGGGAGGAGAAACCAGTTGTGACGTGGTGCTAATTCCACTCCAGTCAAATTTGGAGGCAGCTGGGGATTCACGTCTCACTGATCGGCATACACTGGCACCGTGGAGCCAATCAGTGCTTACACAGGGGGAAAATAATCGGGATGTCGCAGCGGGACTCTGTTCCTTCATGGACGGGAGCTCTGAGCTCCACAACGCAGTCATGCACCACTGACCCACTACAGGGAGCGGGAGGCTTTAGGTTACAGCTCTCATGTTTGAATGAGGTGTAGACCGTCGGTGTCCAGTTTTGTAGAAACTAAATATGGATATTCAGAGTTTTCAAACAGTATTAAAAACAAGTCTGGGACATACTGTGTTGTGTTGAAGATCTGCTGAATCTCTGGAGGAGTAGCAGAGATCGACCAATCCGTTGATGGGATTATTTTTATTCGTCATGTGCGTCACAATCACGTCTTTATGAAAGACTGACAGGAAGATGGTTAGAATCATTTATAATCCCTTCTGCGATTGGAGCTAGGCTACAACTTTACTTTGAGTTGGTCTCCCCCATTTTTCACGTTATGAGTGTAACGTGACAAAATGTGAAACAGTTCAGGGTCATAAAAAGGTTTACAAGCTACTGTAAATAGGTCAAAAAACTGGTTTCCTTGGTATCAGTTCTGGAGATGTCAAACTGCTGGAGTTTAAACCTAAGACATTTAATGAACATGATTTAAAGAGGGCAGAATATTAATGTGTTGGTTATGTTTCTCCATTGGATGCATATTCATTTTTAAACGCCCTATATGGATGTGCTTTGAACATTAAGTGGCTAAAGACGATGTGACACGCTGATTGATGTAACTTGCATTGCGCCTGTCATATGAACATTTAATGAAAGGAAAAGGTGGAAACTAAGCCCTAATTAGTTGGCTCAGAAGCTTTTGATCCTAACAGCATCATAGTGGGAATATGTGGTGGCTTTGCTGCTCTGTGTCAGACTAAATACTGCAGTGGGAAAAGTTTATCCGTAAAATGTCATAACGACTCTTAGAAAAAAGTTGGATGCTTGTGAGACCTTCCAGGAATTATATTCAAACATCATAATTGCTCGTTATCTTTAAGACTTGGGGAACCTGATCTGATTCAAAATGACCAGATTTGTGATTGATACAAGGTTGAATGTATAAATGCAACTAAAAGGAGAAATTTTCTATTATTTTTTTAACATGCTGCCATTTCTTCACATCCACTAGACATGGACATAATTCACTTTTTGCTAAACACCTGATTGTTTGATCTTAATCATTAGTTACACAATACGCCTTACTTTCCCGTCTTTGTTTCCTTTTCCCATATTTTTTAATCTTTTAAACTGATGTTAGTTAAAGCAGTGTGGATGTGTTTGGTTACCATCTTTTAAAGTTTTTTTCTTTAAAACTTGAAGCAACCAGTTCATACTTAATAAAACTTAATATCCCCTCTTGCAAAGAAGATTTAAATTGCTGAAAATATAAATATTTCCTAATGATGCAGTCAGAATAATGTAATGTAATACTTTTCACAGCTTTATTGAACTGTATAATACTTTATTAAACCCAAAGGGAGGATGGGTTATTGCAGAGTATAAACTATAGGGAAAAATACAATATAAGAACAAACAGTTCCTATGAGGAGTCATATAGGGTTTTTGTTGCTGGCAGAGACGAGATCCTGTCCTGGACTTGATTGCAACAGAGCTGCAGTTATGTCTCAGTTGTGCAGAGTTTTCTGTTATGAAGCCTGTGCAACATTTTTCTCTCTGGTATCAGGATACAAAGCAGACTTTTCTGACTAAGTTTCCTCTTGTGTTTGCTGCTGCCTCAGATTTTTTTTTTTTGGGTGCTTTAATAATCAGCTGCACTTGTTTCCACCACGGGAAGCACAAACCCTGACAAGCGGGACAGCCAAGAAAAAAAAAAAAGAAAAGAAAGAGTCGAACAGAGGCTGTTTACTGCAGCGGTTCAGTAATTGTAATAAGGGTTCCAGAAACCCAGATCTACACTGACTGCAGATTTTAGTGTCTATCAGAGAGCCTGCTGGCTCCTCAGAGTGCAGGGTAGAAAATCAAGTTAATGAACTGTGAGTTGGAGTCCACCATTTTGCATCCCAAATTGAATTCACTTTGGGAGTATGTCTAAATGTCCCTCCTCACAATGGCTGCATGTTAAAGCACTCCAATTATTAGGGACGACTTTGTCCAGCTGGAAATCTTAAATTTGAAGAACCACCTTTAAATATTTAGCTACAACACTCACTGGCAATGCTAGTAATACTTTCACGAAGTCGTCTTCCATTGTAGTGCTATTGTTTTTTGTTGAGTTAATTAATTGTAAATACTGAATCATTAAAACAACTTTTTTTTCTTCCCCTAGCTGAAAAGCAATCAAATCCAAGGCGGGACTTTTCCAGTCTCAAACAATAAAAAATTAATTCATTCTAAGGCTTCTTCCATATCTGTGCATCTTTTAATAAATGTGAAGGGTGTTGCACACAACACTTTATCAAATTAAATCTGAATGCATTCAGCAGCTAAGTCTAACAGGTGCATACCTAGTTTTTAATGAGTTTAGAGCTCTTCACAACATGTTTAAAGGATCTCATGTCGTCAGGTTTTTTTTTTCTTCCACGTTGCCGAGCGATAGTAGCAGCTCAACATCTGGCTAATTCCTTATCACATCTAGCTCAGCTAATATCTGCAAAGCCATACACTTATGTTGTGAGGACGAGTAATCTGGAGAAAAATTAAACTTACTTGAATGTTTTGACAGTGATGGAACAGATTTTTGTATAATAATCAACAAGAGGCTGTTGAACAAACTCCTAATGCTTTGAGAAGCAGTTATTTTCCTATTGTTGCAAATCAGGCTTTTACTTTCAGCAATTTGCTTTTGTCTGTGCCTCTAATCCAGCATTCTGGTCTTTTTGGAAAACATATTCAAAGCCGTTTTTTTTTTTCCTTTGATTTCTCATGACTATCTACAGAAAAACCCAAACTGGCTAGTTGTTTTTCTTTTTTTCTTTTTCTGGCTTGATCCAAGCTGATCAAGCAAACCAAAACCCACACCTGTCTTTTTTGGCTCGTACTGCGATGGAAACATCTGTGGCGGCACAGACGACCTCCAAATGCAACATGAGAAATGACAGCGCTCATGTTTGATGAGGCTCTGGAGTCAGGCTGCAGTAAAACCTGCAGGCGAGAGGATGGAGAAAACCCGACTCACCATGTCGATGGACGACACGGGTCCGATACTGTTGACGTAGATTCCCACGTCGATGACGGTCGGTTTCTCTGCAATGGAAAAAAAAAAAAAAAAAAAACGGCGTTAACATGAGCATCCGGTGTCCTTTAAGCAAACTTAAATGGATAATATTGATATTTTGTGTGATAAACTACATTATGTAGCAATGATATTTATTCTAACCATTTACATCAAGTTTCAAAATAATCGAATCCCATGTTACATTTTCCCTCTTATTCAAAACTATGCAACGTTTTGTGTTGGACTGTCGTCAAGGTTGGTGCTTCTGAGCTAGAAAAGTTCTCGGGGTGTTAATACCTTGTGATATATAGCCGTCATTCTTTCCATCCTGCGGCTTGTATGTAACCAAAAAACAGAAGTATAAATAATCAAGTTAAAAACCACGCTTTTCATCATTCAGTGTCACCTTGGCTAATAAAGCCAGTTCATTTCCTTTTGGAGGCAGGCAGAGCCATCAATCCACCCCGAGAAGAAAGATTTACACTCCTAAAATCAGAGAAGCTGCGCTCTGATTCCTCAAGCACTCCCAGAGTTACCATGGCAGGTAATAGCATTTCCAGTCAGCACCAAGGATCTTGGCTAAATTTACTCTGCAGGAGCATTTGACTTGTTTATTCTGACGCAGGAATGTGAAATAAGGTACAGCAGAAAACGAGCCATGTTAGGACAGACGGACATTTCAGAATGCATAGATGCTTTAGGGGAGAGCTTGTATAAGGCGGGAGAGCAAACTTTTCATGAAAAATTCACCATGATTCATGCATTATTCTCCATGCATGCTTTTCTGTGTAACCCATACATACTGGCTTCTGCTTATTGAAACAAAGTGTTCCTATTAAAACTGCATCTTTTGGGAATTAAGTGTTTGCTTCACTAATGTATCACCTAATTTAGGCTCTGCTCTAATGTGCCTAAACATACATTAAAAGTCCGTTATGTTGTGATTCTAGATGTTTTTTTCTTCCACATATAACATCTAATGGAAGTTCTAGTTCTACACTGCAAGGAATGGAGCAGGAGAGATAAAACTATTTCAATAGCTTGATGACGATACCCAGCATTGGATGCAACACACTCCAGCATGGCCTCTTTACACACCCTCTGCTATAGCGTCTCTATTAGCTGGCAGGCCGTATCAAGTCAAACAGATTCTGCAGCATGACAGTCACAACTCTGACACCTTACACATCACTACGCAACACTGCTACAAGATGGATGCAAGTGATTACCAGATTGTATTGCAACTGCTCGATAAAAGAATGCTAAACACTTAAACTGGATGATGATGGATTACAATTTAAATATTGTAATTTCTATTTAATGGTTGTGTTTAGCACGTGTATTGAGCATTGAACTTTCAATGCTCAAGATGTTTAATGCAATAATCTGTAAAATGATTCTGCTGCTCCTAGATACTGCATCTATGTTTGGATTTTGTTCTTTACCGTCCGTCTTATTTTGCTCCTGTATGTTTATTTCTTAGAAATTAAGTTATTGGGGGTGGGGGGGGGAGAAAGTATTAAGAGAGAAAACAGAACTGTTGCATAAACAGTTTTCAAAATAAGAGCATGAATGTAAACGTCTAACTACTGATAACCAAAAGCCTCAACACAGATGTTGAACTTTATTCAATTGAAAGTTTACAAAAGTTTAGAATTTATCTGGAAAATTTTTTAGGGGAAGCCAAGTGTGCTAAATGTAAATGCTAAATACTTTCAGTCAAATATCATTGTATTAATTGGTCTGTTGCAGATTTTTCATATTTGCACTACTTAAGTCCATTGATCTAAAGATATTTCTCCATAATGATCTACGGAAATGGTGTCGTTTCTTTAAGTTTCCTGTAACTTTCAATACAAAACATAACGAAAAGAGAATTTTTCAGCCTGAAACCAAATATGATTCCCCATCAGACAAATTAAATCCAACCTGGATCACAAATAGTCATTCAGACTCGCAAAAGTCACACTTTGAGAACATAACTGGAGCAAACAGGTGAGCATTTGGCTATCATCGTCATAACCAATTGATTTCCAATCTAATCATTTATCAGCCAGACATCTGGAATGAAACCGTCTAGGATGAATCTGTCAAGTAATTGTGAGGGTCAGGAAAAGTTTGATAGAAACTTTTTGCCTTGAGGTTTCTTTAGCAAATGAATCGGCCCCAAGGGTAAGAAATTCGTAAAACTGTCACACGAGCTTATCTATTAATGAGAGTCTTGAGGCTCAACTTTCTCCTTTTTTCCCTTGTTTGTAGACAACTTCTAAGATTGCAGTCTTTTGAGCACATCTAAGTGTACATGCAGCGGCGCCTTGAGCACAAACCAGATGGCAGATTGCATGTCACAGAATGAGTAACATGATGTATTAATAACCTGAATTGGTGTCATTTCAGTAGCTCTGTGTCAGTAATTGAAGCCTCAGGATTTTTTTTAAATCATTGGATCACCAGCATCCATGGAGTTGTGTAATTTTTTTTTTTCTCTGCTGTGAGGTCTTGGCTAGCGGAGCTGAAATGCATGTGCACATCAGCTGGCCGTAACCCTGGGGGTCTGTCGGTGAAGGCTTGCTAGGAGGTGTTGGTTCGATTCCAGCTGAATGTTCTGCTCCACTGACTGGGCAATGCACCATGGCACAGCGCTGGTGTTTTTCTGAGAACCATCTTATTACTACATCTATAATTTGAAGTCTATGTAAAATGTGAATCCGCTTTCTTTGTAAAAAAAAATCTATTAAGATCAATACTTTTTTTATTTTTGAAAACAAGAAAAAGGATCAAAACGAGGAAATGTATTCCTCATCTTCACAAGTGGCACTAATGAAAGTTCTGTTTGCTACAGCTTTTACTGAGATTATAAGATGTGAAGTTTCATAAATGAACAGCTTACAGGGGTTAAATTTAGCCCTGCTTTTTAAACAGTTCAACCATAACTTTTTATAAAAAACAGACTGGAGCCAGTTATATTCCTACTAGATTTATTGGTCAGTATCTAACTAGCATCTACAGTGCCAAACACTGTTTGGCAACAAACCCAAGTTCAGGCTCAAAGTCATTTGGAAAGCCCTGGCACTGGCAGCATTTCGAACAATGTATAATTACAACGTATAAATTGTGGAAATATTTTCGGGCATGTGTGCAATGTTCCTCCAGGGCAGCCCGGACGTGTTTAAACATGTGCGGGGGAAACCCCTGGACATACAGCCAGCCCAGAAACAGACAGATAAGCAGCGCTCACCGATTTGGGCAGCTTTGAATACATCTTGGAGAAAACCTGGGGATTATAGAGAGCCAGCATCCCTCCTCTGAGACCCATTCACCTTAGAAATTGGGGTGAATGCATCTGAAAGACCACTGAAATGGAAACATGTGGTGCAAAGCTGATCTTTTATAGCAAAAGCACATTGGCGCATATGGAAACTGGGACAACCTTAAGGGGATAAACCTAAATATACCCCACAATAGCTTATCAGTGCAGATGATGGCAGTATTTATCCCCAGATGATGTGCTTTATGGATAGATAGATTTCTAGACAGGAAACACCTCCGTCCAGGGCTTTTACCATCTGCTTGTTGGACATAAAGCATTTTAGCTCTGCTCCATGTGTCATCATATAATGGTAATTATAGCAATTATTTTCTTTATCGGATGACTCGTTTTGTCACCTTCATCTCTTAGAGATGTGAGAATGCTCTTCAAAAGAAATCAACCTCTTTCCTATATGTGCAGAGAATGAAACATCCACCTTTACATCTTCCTACTAACCTCAATTTTACACTCATACAGGAGAAACTTTCATCCATGGAGCACATTTGATTTCTTTGTCATCCTCTGTGTGTTCCCACCCTCTTCCTCCTCCTACTCCTCTTTTCCTTCCTCGTCTTTGTTTTCCAGAAAAGCCTGACAGCTCCCATCTGTATTATCAAATCACCTTGTGGGGCTCGATTAGGGAGAAAGACCCTCCATGCCTGCTTGGCCCGGCTGGCATGACGAATGCATTACGCATTGTCAAGCCCAGCCAGCCTCGTGTGTGCATGCTGATGCACATATCCCAGCTGAGCGCTCAGGCTCCCATATGCTCTGTTTCCCGGGATCTGTGCATGGAATACGAGGGGCTGCCGGATTCACCACCGAGGGGGGAAGCCCTGGTGTCTTCAGTGGCTGTTTGGAAGCAAATGTGCTGGAAAATAATTTATTGCTCTGCGTTGAGTAAAAGCCATCTAGAGTGCAGCGTCTTCAAGCTGTTTGCTGCTGGTGATGTCTTCAGAAGACATTGCTCTGACAAAGACATTTGAGCTCACTGAGGCGTGGTGTTCATCGGGACGCAGCCATCTTGTGGCTCTGGTGGTTACTGCGCTTGTAAAACGAAGACGGCGTTATTTTACTTCACTTTTTAATCGGCTCTGATGTCAAAGCAACCAATCGGAATAGGGCCAAGATTGATGAGATGTAGTGTTGGTCTTTTGATGCAGTTAATTTTCAAGGATATGCAAGTACATTTTTTTTTTCAAATAATGAAAAAAAGGCATCCAAACTAAAAGAAACTGCAGTTTGTCAAGCTGAAAGATAAAGGCGCAGTACTACCTGACAAGCAGATCAAGTCAGTGTGTGTTGATGGGTCACAAAAATAAAAACTACAGAGCATTTAATTTCAAACCTAAATAGTTGGATGCTTATTGCACAATTACCAAATATGTTTTGTGTTTATCTGCTCAGCCAAACCCAAATTCAGCTCATGAGGCAGCTGGCTGAGGAGTGTGGATAATTTTTATTTATTAAACCAAAAGGAACCGATAAATGGAAGCAGTTTATTGCCAAGGACTGAAGAATTAACTTTGACATGAAGAACGGATGTACGCAGTAAAAGCAGAATGAAAACAATGAAAAAAAAACCAAGAGCATAGATAATTAGGATGCAGTGACTCATACGAGGCAGACGAGTGGCAATGAAAAGCAAATCCAGGTGTAAAACAAAGCAAAAAACAGGAAAAAACTCCACAAGGTAAAAAGAAGTGAAGCTGCTCGAAT